CTGAAAGTTGTGAGCTTTTATAGAGATCAAGAACTAGAAATTTCACAGCATATAGTCCTTCCTTAAGATGCAGCCTCTATATTTCATTTAGAAATTACCTTTATTACTCAATGACAAATACATGGGACAGGTAGTATATTCCCAAAGATAAAGTGCATGGATAGTGGTAGTACCAGATGATTTTCTATGGAGTGTTCTCACTGGTCTGTTGATGGTGATTGTGCCTCACCTGGCTGAGAGCCCTCTATAATCTTATCCAATTAGAAAAAGCCACAAAAGTGTCTTTTGTAAGAATCTAGTGCTAAGACATAACCAACTAGAATATGAACTCTTAAAATTTAAAATATAATGGTATTTTAATTTTCTTAAAATACAAGATGTCCACTTTTCCTTACAACTCAGAACTCACTTATCATCCACTAACAACACTAGCAGGCTGCATTTTGTCTAGTAGTTTTCTGGCCTACTCTTTTTGTCAGTTTTTTCACTACTGTAACCATAATTCCAGACAAGAGCAATTTTAACGGAGGAACAGTTATTTAGGGCTCACGATTTCAGAGGTGTCAGTTCACAGGCAGCAGGCTCCACTGCTCTGGGCTCGGGGGGTGAGGCAGACATCATGGCGAAAGAGTATGAAGGAAGGAAGCAGCTCAGGACCTGACGATCGGGAAGCAGAGTGAGATTACATATTCAGCAGGAACAAATTATACACCTCTGAGACATGCCCCCAGCCACTCACTTTCTAACCAGCCACAACCTACTGCCAACAGTTCCCACCACGTGAATTCACTCAAGTGGATTAATGCACTAATCAGCTTAAGGCTCTTGTGATGCAATCAGTTTACTTCTCTCAAACCTGAGCTGGGCGACGCCTCCTATCTAAACCACACCACCTACATTCATTCACTCATTCCTGTAGCAGTTCAGCACGCAGTTGTGGTTTGCCTTCAGTGGGTGACATCGTTTCCAGACACTGGGGTCCAGTGGGGGAAACAAGCAGTTGAACAACCTGTTCTCCTGGAGCTTTAGATCCATGGGAGATGGGAGCAGGCATCAGGCAACCAAATGAACCAAAGTTCAATAAATGTACAGAGTATGGAGGGAGGTAAGTTAGAATGAAATGATAAGAAAGGCAGCACCTACTCCAGCTTGAGTGTTGGGGGAGGATGTTTGAGGGGATGAGAAGTGAGTTCTGATTTGTAAAGAAAAATGGACACCCAGGCACAGAATGTTCAAAGGCAGAAAAGAACTTGGTCCACTAGAGGGGCTGGCCTGGTAAGGGTCAAATGAAGCCGGACCCGAGAGAGAGGCAGGGGTCCTATACTGCATGCTTTGTTAGCCAAAATAAGGAAATCGTGGGAATCCTGGGTGTGTGTGTGTGTGTGTGTGTGTGTGTGTGTGTGTGATGCACATGTCTGAGTATGGTTTTCTAAGCTTGGAGCTAAAACTTAGCTTTCTTTTCTATTTTTGATATGTGCAAAAATGTAGCAGAATAATACAATAAAAATGTACTTACCACTGCTTTATAAGAAGAGAAACATTAAAAAAATGACCTCAGTCCATCTTTGTTCCTTCATGACTCCCTCAGGATACTTCTTTCTCACTCCCACCCTTCTAAGACATGAGCCCTCACCTGAACTCAGTGGCTTCAATTTCTACACTTGTCCTCATATTTTTAGAGGACATATGTAAGAATCCTTGAATAATTGCAAATTGTTTGACAACTTTTTAACATTTGCACACATGATGCCACATTGCACCCATTCTTCCTCAATATCTGTAACATTTGTCCATGTAAATACCTGTATATAATCCATTGTGCAGACACACAACACATTTTCTTCATTCTGATTCTTTCTTCAAAATATTCACTACCACAAAACATGCTGCAATGAACATGGAGGTATGTGTCTTTATTGTATGAGAGGTGATTTAAGGTAATGATCTCTTACCTCTTTTAACGTGCACAAAAATATGCAAAGATAAAGCAATTCAGATAGGAAGAGCTCGTCGATGGAAAGCAAGAGTATCCCAATCCAACAGTAACTATTTAAGATATGTACTATTCACTTTTTTTCTCTGCCTAATTTATCATTTACAGAGAAAGTTATGAAAAACTTTGCATTTATGAGTGTAAAACTATCAAATTAATTTATGCCAGTTTCTGATTTTCATATATTGTCCTTATGGTTTTAGATTTGTTGACATTTCAAGTTTTTATATAATCCTGGTGAAATGCTCCATTTATCACTAGGATGTGGTCCGCTTTGTTGGAGATTTTGTTAATCAGGGAAGGATATGATTGGTAGGTTTTAAATGTGGGCCCTGGCTGTCAATGTAGAAGCCCAAGGTGGTGATGAATCCATCTTGAAGAGAGATACTGGCAACTTGAACTGTCGTGGTCTTCCTAAAGATGAAACCAACCTCAGGGTTGTGATATGTTTTGAATTGCCAGGATTTTCTGATTAACCAAATATTCCTGTGAAGAAATAAAAGAATTTTTGGCTTGAGCACCTAGCTGGGAGAATAATAGTGACCTTGCCTTCTGACTGGAATATGTGGCACAGTGTGTTTTCCAAAAATGGCTTCTTTGATATTTTCATCTCTTCCAGGGCATTGCCACTTCCACAGGTCCAGTCTGTGGCTCCCTACTTCGAATTTGGTCTGTTTTCTGTGACTTTAGCTAAAAAGAGTGTGGAATGGCATTATGGAAATGATGCTGTTTGACTTCCAGGGTTAGATCATAAAGTGCTCCACAGTTTCTCCCTGGCTGTTTCTTGGAATGGATCCCCAGGAACCCAGCCTCCATACTGTAAAGAAGTCTAGCCCACATGAAAAATCCACTTAGACAGGAGCTCTTGGTCCTCAGCACCTGCTGAGCCTAACAACCAGCACCAACTAGTGAAGTGATTGAGCCACCTTATAATAGACCATCTGGCTGCTCGTCCAACTGCCCACCTGATATGGAGAGAAGCAGACACAAATCTTTCTCAACAATCTCATCCCAAACTGCAGATTTGTGAAAAAAGTTGTAAAAAGATTTGTAACTAGATGCTGTCTAGAGTCATCAACTCTTAGGGTTGTTTTTATGGAACAATAGACAACCAGAACAGACATATGGAAAAATGTCTTGAAGAAAGGAGATAGGGTCCAGAAAAAGGGCTGTTGTTGGATTGTATTTTTTTTTTTTTTTGGAGATTTCAAATGTCTGGAGTTCCATTGAAGAATCAGAATTATAAATGAAAGATTCAAAACTATTGACATAGAGATGATACATAAATCCTTAGGGCTGGATCTGTTCATCAAAAAAGAGCCTATCAGTAAGGAAGAAAATAATGCCATTGATTCTAATATAAAATTATTAATTCATCAAGTCATTGTTTTTTCTGTTTATTCAACAAACATCTTGGGTATCTCCCAAAAGTTAATATTATTAACTCTATTATGTTTTAGATGTAGTTCTGCCTGTGTATAGAATCTATATTTGTCAGGGTTACTTGACACATTAGTTTCACTTAACACTCATTTTATATATTAAATTTGATACCTATAGACTTATGTAACCATCCTGATTTCTAAACCTTTCTTGTACAGTGGTCTACATTTCATTTTTATCCAGAATGGTCTTTTGTATCTTAGTACCTATTATGAACATCTGTACTCAATTTAGATCCAGGGCTCTTGGATGGACTCACTGACCTGGGCATAAGTTTCCCTTTTTGATGATATAGATCAGCCTGGTGGGTGTCTGTCAGGCAGATTCACAGAGCTAAGAATAGATAGTCTTGGAGATGCTGGAGGAGAAGTCATTGGGTGACCAGAGGTATCCAGAAAACCCCCGTTTTAACTCTTCTTTGCTTTGATATTTCTCATGTCTGTTTATTTACTTAAAAACATTAAAATCACTGGCTATTCATTTCATAGGTGTGAACTCAAGCCCACTTGAAAGGAGTGAACTCAGCAGCAGAGAGGGATACGATGCCTTGGTTTTCTTCTAAAATAGATCCCTCCTGACGGACCTAGAGTCACTATTCATTCTGAGCTGGAAGCAGCCTCTGATTGTATACCATGCTCAGACATTTCATAATATAATTCAGTTTATCTCGTGATTTGGTAGAAGAGTTAATGCTACTCTGAAGGACAAATGTCAGAACTGTTAGGTGAAAATATGCCTTGTTATCCTTAAAGCCCAAGAAACATTGGGTCAACAGACCCTATTGTATCTTCTTCTCAGCATTTGCCCTAATATACATGCCCACTAAACTCCAAAATGTGGCAAATAATTAGATAAAATTGAACATAGATTTTATGTTTTTAAGTGACATTTATGTATCATTTATTATCATTAAATTCTTCATGCATAGTCTCTTATTAAGACTATGTATGAAGACTTCAAGATCGATGCTTTAATGCTTGAATCATTCAATGTTTCCAATGGGAGACCTGGCTCTTGGAAAACACTGGATCCAGGACTGAACCAACAGGTCCTCGGGACTATGCAGCCCCTTGCTCTGCTGTTCTGAAGGAAACCTTGAGTCTCAGCACCATCATTCAGTTGGAGGGAAAATTGAGGCAGATAGAGAGGAAGAGGTCATCCCAAATCTAGTAGACAAAATAGCCTGATCCAAACTCAGTTAAATCCAAATCCAGGCCTCTATCTCCAAATCCAGGGCCTTCCACATTCTCTCAGGACACCCAGCAGTTTCGTCTAAGCTGGGCACTGCAGAAAGGGGCCGTATTCTCCCCCTCCCCCCATTTACAATCAACTGATTCTTTTATGTTTTGGTGATTCTACACTGTTTATTTTCTTGCTGTTGTTGTTGTTCTTTTTAGATCTACATGATAGTAGAGCATATTTTGACATATTATTCATACAAAGTTATGTCCACTGTTGAGAGCCACAGCCGAAGGGGCCCCAGCAAACTTCCAGCTGCTGGCTGATGATTGGCTCACAGCGGCCCCAGCAACATCTAGCTGATTGGCTCCTCTGCGGCATTTGGTGGCCCGTACGGGGAATCGAACCCGCGACCTTGGCGTTATCAGCACCAAGCTCTAACCAACTGAGCTAACCGGCCAACCAACAGCGCCACCTCCATATGCTGGGAGGCCCCCAACCCCCGCAGTTGATAGTTGGGATCCTGAGACAAGATCTCAAATATTAACATGCCCTGTATTTGAGGCAGGAGGGCAGCGATTTTACCAAGTTTTAAATTTCAAAACAGTGAAGCAGCTAAAAGAGGCTGTAACAACCTATGGTCCTCAAGCACCCTTCACTGTAAGCATGGTCGAATCCATTAACAACCTGAACATGACGCCAGCAGATTGGGCTAATATGTGTAAAGCTGTGCTAAATGGAGGACAATACCTGTTATGGAAGGTTGCCAATGAGGAATTTTGCAAGGAGACGGCTAGGCGAAATGCAGCAGCTGGTTATCCTCAGAGAAATCTAGATATGTTGTTAGGAAAGGGACCTTATGAGGATCAGCAGCAACAAATTGCATATGATCCTGGCGTATACGCACAAATTGCTGCAGATGCAATTAAGGCATGGAAGACTTTACAAGGACATGGAGGTTTACAAGGTCAATTATCTAAGGTAATACAAGGAGCTAATGAACCTTATGCTGAATTTGTAGATAGGCTTATTCAAACAGCTACCAGAGTTTTTGGGAATACAGAACAAGCAATGCCATTACTAAAACACCTGGCTTATGAGCAAGCGAATCGTTGGTGCAGAGATATCATTAGACCATGGAAATATGAAGATTTAAACACATATATTAAATTATGTAGAGACATTAATGAACAAGAGCAAGTCGTGGCAGCTGCAGTAAAACAGGCTTTAGATGCCAGAGACATTAATGAACAAGGGCAAATTGTGGCAGCTGCAGTAAAACAGGCTTTAGATGCCAGGCCAAGAACATGCTACAATTGTGAACAAACAGGACATTTTAAAAGGAATTGCCCCATTGGAGGAGGGTTTAACAAAACTAGTTATCAAAGGAGTATAATTTAAATTGGGTAAACAACTGTTGAGGATTGTTTTAATATGTAAACAAAAAAGAAGGTTAACAGATCTGTCTGTTTACTTTCACCTTTCCTTTTCATTATATTTAATAATTCTCTTAAAGATAATGTAAATTGTTAAGAAAATTGTTTTCTTTTAGTGCCTTCTGTAATGTTACATAATTTTTTCTTTAGCCATTATTGCCAGAATTCCTATCTTCATCCCAGTGCCGGTGAAGACAATGTAAATTGTTAAGAAAATTGTTTTCTTTTAGTGCCTTCTGGAATGTTACATAATTTTTTCTTTAGCCATTATTGCCAGAATTCCTATCTTCATCCCAGTGCTGGTGAAGTCAAAGATAAAACCAATCTACAGCTTCTACAATAGCCATCACTGAACTGCTTGCAGAACTTGCCTGGACACATTGTGAGCTCACCTGTATGCATTGTGAACTATCTGTTGGTGCAGCGACTTGTGGTAGTGTTGGGGTATTTTTGCTGATGATGTCACCGGTGGTACAATTTTTCAAAGGAGCCCTCAATTGGCTTAATGTCATGGCATTTTGCATCCTCCTCTACTAGTGATGGTCTAAAATTTGGGGGCCAACAGAGGTGAGGCAAAGAACCTCACCCCCCCACTGGTGCAAAGGCCTATCCACAAGTATAGCTGTATGCTGGACCGGTAGTCAGTGATGGGTATGATCCAATTGCAGTGGTACCAACCTAAGACAGGAGGCTGACGCCTAGAGGTCAGTTCATCCGATGACGGGTAAGGACCATATGTTGAATTGGACTGCCTAACAGGCACGGTCCCTAAGCCACATGCTTGTTGTTTAAACAGAGAGGGGGAGATGTTGAGAGCCACAGCCGAAGGGGCCCCAGCAAACTTCCAGCTGCTGGCTGATGATTGGCTCACAGCGGCCCCAGCAACATCTAGCTGATTGGCTCCTCTGCGGCTGTCCACTTTATTCTGCTGTCTGCCCTATTCCTATCCTCCCTGCATTCCCCTTTGTCTAATCCACTGAACTTCTATTCTTCCTTATCCTCCCTTGTTTGGTGTTAGCATCTGTGTATCAGAGAGAACATTCAACCTTTGGTTTTTGGGGATTGGCTTATTTTACTTAGCCTTCTAGTCTCCTGATTCATCTATTTACTGGCAAAATCATTAAATCGTTCTTTTTTATGCCTAAGTAATATTTCATTGTGTGTATATATACCACATTTTCTTTATCCATTCATTTGTTTAAGGGCTCCTAGGTGGGCTCCGGAGCTTAGCTATTGTGAATTGAACTGCTATAAACATTGATGTGGCTGTGTCATTGTAGTGTGCTGATTTTAAGTCCTTTGGGTGTATGCTGAGGAGTGGGATAATTGGGTCAAATGGTGGTTCCATTCCAAGTTTTTTGAGGAATCTCCATACTGCTTTCCAGAGTGGTTGCACCAATTTGCAGTCCCACCAGCAATGTATGAGTGTAAGCTTTCCCCCACATCCTCACCAACATTTATTGTTATTTATATTCTCGATAATTGCCATTCTGACTAGAATGTGATGGAATCTCTATGTAGTAATTTGCATTTCCCAAATTGCTAGAGATGTTGACCATTTTTCATATATTTGTTGACCATTCATATTTTTTCTTCTGTAAAGTGCCTGTTCAGTTCCTTTGCCCATTTATTGATCGGGTCATATGTTTTTTAGTGTTAAGCTTTTTAATTCTTTTGTATCCTGGACATTAATGCTCTATTTGAGGTACAGGTGGCAAAAATTTTCTTCCATTACGTAGGCTCTCTCTTTATACTTTTGATTGTTTCCTTTGCTCTGAAGAAGCTTTTTAGTTTCATACTGTCCCATTTTTTGATTCTTGATTTCACTTCTTGTGGTTTAAGAGTTTTGTAAGCTGACATGATGGAGAGTTATGCATGCATTTTCTTCTAGTAGGTGCAGGGTCTCCTTGATCCCCTTTGAGTTTTGTGCAGGATGGGAGATAGAGGTTCAATTTAATTTTGCTACATATTGATTTCCAGCTTTCCCAGCACCATTTGTTAAAGAGGCTATGATTCTCCATGTATATGGTGCCTTTGTAAGTATATGAATTTGTTTCTGTGTCTACTATTCTGTACCATGGTATTCATGTCTGTTTTGGTGCCAATACCATGCTGTTCTTGTTGCTCTACTTCTGGAGTATAATTTAAGGTTGGTTTTGTGATGCCTCCTGATTCACTTTTGTCTCTAAATATTGCTTTGGCTATTCCTGGCCTCTTATTTTTCCCAATAAACTTTATGACTGCTTTTTCTCTTTCTATGAAGAATAACATTAAAATTTTAATAGGAATTGCTTTAATTTTGTACAGCACTTTTGGCCTTTTTGACAATATTGATTCTGCCTTTTCAAGAACATAGGAGACCTTTCCATCTTATAAGCTCTTCTTCAATTTCTTTCTTTAGTGTTCTGTGGTTTTCGTTGTAGAGGTCTTTCTCCTCTCTTGTTAGACTGATTCCAAATTTTTTAAAGCTATTATGTATAAAATAATTTTTCTTATTTCTCTTTCCACTGATTCATCATTGGTGTATAGAAGAAGTGCAATTAATTTATGGATGTTAATTTTATATCCTGCTACTTTTTTATGAGTTCTAGAAGTTTTCTGGTGGAGTTTTTGGGGTCTTCAAAATATAGGATCATGTCATTGCCAAACAGAGATAGTTTAAGTTATTCTTTTCCTGTTTGTATCCCTTTACTTTCTTTCCTTTGTCTAATTGCTCTGGCTAGAGTTTCAAGGACTATGTTGAATAGAACTGAAAATTAAAAGCATTCCCTCTAAAAATTGGGACATATTCTTTCTTGCTTTTCCAGAAATATTATAAGCCCATAAAACAGGAGCTTCTGCCCTCTCCCAGATTTTAAGTTGAGAACTTGTAGCCTTCCTTCACTTCCTATGTACTCCCCTCCCAGAGAGAAACTAGAGATTTTGAGGAGTTGCTCTGTGGTCTCTCTCTGGTCTTTCCCGTGGGATCTGCCCACATACACACCATACTCCTCCTCAAGACTGAGCTGACCAATGGGGACGGCGGTTCTAAGATTAAAGCCCTCCAGTCCTGCCGTTGTGCCTGCCACTCTGATGGTCAGTTTAAATCAGGAGAAAGGAGAAGAAAAGTCTGCTTGGGCCATAGCTCCAAACTGCATATTCTAATCTCGTTTTGTCAGTATTAAAACTTTTTTTCTGTTCCTATTTTATTTTATTTTTGCATCTCAGTTAATTTGATATCCAATAAGAAAAGGACAATGTCAGTTGTAAAGTAAGGACTCGGGTGGCCACTAGCTCCTCACCTTTCCTAGAAACAGTATCTCTTAATATATTGTATAAGCAATAGAAAAGTCACTTTCAAGACTCCCCTTCTAGATGTGTGGCAGCTCCCAAAACCCTTCTATGACAGGAATTCTGAAGAGGCAACTAGGAGAAAATGTTAATCATTTACACTGTTCCAGAAATTGACAAGACTGATTTGGTTCCAGTAAAAACTCAGATAGTCATAGACAACCTTACAAATGACAAGAGCACCAGCTTGACTTACAGAACTAATGTCATCTGCAAACCCTACTGGCCAGTTCTGGAACTGATATAATTGCCTAGACCTTTACCTAAGTCACTGCACTAGCAAATTTGGGTGTGCTGGGAGAAAGCATCAGAGATTGGATGAGGAAGCATGTCAATGCCACCATCACTCATTTTAATCTCCATGAAATAGTTGATTTCCTTCAAGCTCAACACAACTCCTTCTAAGGTTCCCCAGCCTGAACGAATGTGCATTGCAAACATCCATCTGTCAAAAGAGAAGATGAGGAGCAAGTGAAATTAGACCATGGCTCTCTCATTTCCCCTGAAAGCCGCCAATGAATGAGAGCATCAGCTGCACCCGATTGGGCTAGCCAGGCCCCGCATCCTTAAGCGAACACTCTACACCCAGGCTGTGAGGCACATCCTGTGAATAGGGATGACGCAGTCTCAACAGGTGTCTGATGGGGTGCCAACCAACTGGCGGTTCCAAAGGACTGGAGCAACAGCACATTCC